CGGCGCCATTAACAGAAATAGAAGATGCAGAATGAGAAGCCAGTTTGGGAAATCAGGGAAAACGAGTCTAATTTTAGTTCAATGAGCTTATAGGGAGGTGGGAGTGTCCAAGAGGCAAATGAGACAGGTCTGGGTGGAGCAGAGACCCAGACTGAAGATGAAGATGTGTTGGTGGAATCACACTGAGAAAGGTGGCAGAGAATGAAATCATCCTTGGAGAGGGTGTTGATCTAGCAGACTGGCCAGTTAGAGGACCCTGGGGAATACTAACACTTGTGAGATGGTTGAAGAAATAGGAAAAGAGAGTGGGGAAAAACAGGCACAGACACGTCAGCAGAGAACAGCACTCTGGAACCCAAAGAGAGGAGGACCCAAGACAAAGGACAAGTGTGACGAGGTCCAAGAGGGGCTGGGGGGGGTTGGGCCCTGGTGGATCACTGGTGACCTCTAAGAGATCGCCTCCAAGTTGCCACAAGGGGAGACTAAGGCTGAGGGTACTGAAACATCACTCTCTCCCAGGGGTATCAGGGACAGAGAATTGGCAACAGCTTCCTTTACCATCTTTGGCTACTTCTGAAACCATCAACTCAGAATGGGACTTGAACCCACAGTCTTTTAACTGAGATCACACACCTGGTGTCAGGACTACATGAAACCCCTTGGACTGCAAGGAGATCCAACCAGTCCATCCTAAAGGAGATCCGTCCTGGGTGTTCATTGGAAAGACTGATGCTGAAGCTGAAACTCCAATACTCTGGCCACCTGATATGAAGAGCTGACTCATTGGAAAAGACTCTGATGCTGGGAAAGATTGAAGGTAGGAGGAGAAGGGGACGACAGAGGATGAGATGGTTGGATGGCATCATTGACTCCATGGACATGGGTTTGGGTGAACTCTGGAAGTTGGTGATGGACAGGGAGGCCTGGCATGCTGCGGTTCATGGGGTTGCAAAGAGTCAGACACGACTGAGCAACTGAACTGAACTGAAACCATCAACTCAGAATGCGACTTGAACCCACAGTCTTTTAACTGAGATCACACCTGGTGTCAGGACTACATGAAATCCAGGTTCTTGATGCCTCATTGCAGAAAGAATTCAGTGAGAGATAAGTGATAGGTGAGAAGTGGATTTCTTTAGAGAGAAACACTCTCCACAGACAGAGTGTGGGCCATCTCAGAAGGCCAGAGCAGACCCGGATACGGGGTTGTCAGTTTTTATAGGGCTGGGTGATTCCATCGTCTAGTGAGTGGGAGGGGTATTCTAGCCATTTTGGGGAAGGGGTGGGGATTTCCGGGAATTGGGCCACCACCCACTTTGGGACCTTGATGGCTGACCTTGGGCCTGCCGTGGTGCCTGCGGTGTCTCATCTCGCTGCTGTACTTCGATGAGCCTGCACTGAGGCTCAGGGTCTGGAGGCAGGCGACCTGTCTGCCATCTGGGACCCGATTGGTTCTAGTCAGTTTGCTGTGTCCCTCTTTTAAGGGCTGTGCCCTGCCCCTGTCCTTCCCACGTCACTTCTCCTTCATCTGTTTATTAGACTCTTTTTCTCTGTTGCTCCGGTAAATGTTGATGTTACCTAGGACTCTGTCCTTGGCTCTAAGCTCGTAACAGTTAGGGTTCTCTTGGTTTCAGATAACAGAGAGCAACTCCAGCTGGCTTGAGCAGAAAGATTTATTGGAAGGAAAGAGGGTTACCTCATAGGACCCAGAGGGTTATGACTGGACCTCATGTACAAGCTTTCCCCAGAAACCCAGCGCCATGGGCTTTTGCTAGCTCCTTCCTTGTTCCCCTCTTGGTGTCTATTTCACTTTCTGCTCTTGTTGCAAATCAGAGGCCTAGGTTTTCATGCCAGGTGGTGGCAAACATGCCTGCCCCTCGCCCCGGGGTCATACCCACTCGGTTGGCCAGAGGAGCAAGCTATACCTCCCTCACTCGCTCCTGGGGTCTTCTGGGAGAGATGCTGAGCTGATCACCTTGCACAGGTGCCCATCTGTGGACCATTCAACTAAGGGCACACCAGTGAGTGAACTCTGCAGACAAAACCATGTGGCTCAGGACAAGGGTGGGGGCGGGGGCCTGGACATGAAGGACTGGGGCGGAGCTTACAGGAGGAGGACTGGGACTGGGTTCTGGGGGGGTGATAGTAGGGAAGGTGACATGAGCAGCTTCTCAGCTCCCTTCCCTCCTTGGGTCTGTGCTCCACCTGGAGGCCCGGGCCTCCTAGGTATCAAATCCTGGAGGTGCCCTTCCTCCTAGAGAAGGTCCAGGTCATGTGGGTTTCTTCTAGAAAAGAAAATATAATGACTTTCCATGGGTGGCTCAGACAGTAAAGAATCTGCCTGCAATGCAGGAGATCTAGGTTCAATCCCTGGGTCGGGAAGATCCCCTGGAGAAGGGTAGCAACTCACTCCAGTATTCTTGCCTGGACAATCCTGTGGACAGAGGAGCCTGACGGGCTACAGTTCATGGGGTCACAAAGAGTTGGACCTGACTGAGCAACTAACACACACACACACACACACACACTCTCACACACATTATACTTGACTTCCCTTCCTTGTGACCAGCCCTCAGCAGACCTGGGTGAGTGTCCAGGGATCAAGCCTATATTCTCAAGATGAATCAGAGTTGATTGATCCCGAGCCAACTTCAGCCTATCTAGGGTGTCTGCACTTGGAGCGGGACAGATCCCGGGCCAGTTCCTCTGGAGAACGCTGCGAGGCTGACAGGGACCATAGGACAGGGGCAGAGTCCAGAGGAGCTCGTGCTGTTGATTCTTGTTCTCCTGGAAACTCAGCTGCACCGCTGCCCTTCCCATGTCAGACTCCAGAGGCTAGCCCAGTATTGCCCAGCAAATCCCTTTTCCATCTAAGCTGGTTTGGGGGAGGCTTCTGTCACTGAGACCTAGGAGAGCCTGGACTAGTCCCGGGTTGGAGGAGACGCCCAATAGCTGTTCCCACCCTGGCCTCCTGCCTGCCACTCAGCGGGAGGACGTGACTTCCCCCTCTCTCCTGTCATGTTTCCAGGGAGAAAGAAGGTCCAAAGAGCCATTGCAACACAAGGTTGTGGTATTCTGGCAATTACTGGATGCTGGCATTTTGTTAGTGAACTACGCTAATTTTTACATTAAAAATTTTTAAAGCAGGATCACATATGCACTGAGATAAAGACCAATGACTCAACTATTCACATTACAGTAAATATGCTTGCTGAATAAAACTCTGCCCAGGGGCTTTTCATCAGTCAGAACAATTTGTCCAAAAACACACATGATGCTGAACGATACAGCTGATCTACCTTTTTCTTGAATGATACTTCATTTGCACTTCTTAATGATTTTCCAAGTTTTCTTCATTTTGGATGCTTAGCATATGCTAACTTTGGGATAAGACTTTATTTTTTAACAACCTTTTTATTTTGGAATAGTTTTAGGTTTATAGAAAGATTGTGAAGCTAGGAGAGCGAGTTCCCACATACTTACACAGTCTCCTCTGTGATGAATATTTTCTGAGTGTGTCCTTGGCTATGGTACATGTGTCACATCAATGAACCAATATTGATACAGTATTACGAACTAAATTCCACACCTCACTAGTGTTTACCTAATGTCCTTTCTTCTATTCCGTGATCCCATCCAGAACACCAAATCACACTTAGTTGTGAAGTCCCTTTAGCTTACTCTGATTTACAACAGTTTGTTAAGTTTATCTGCTAATAATCTGTTAGCAGAATGCTTGGTTAATGTTTCTATGTGACAAATTTACATTTTTCTTTGACCTTTAATCCTTCTAAAATTTGACTTAAATGAGATGTTTTCACAGTGCTGTTAATGTTTGGCATTCTGAACTCTTACAGATAAAATATTGGTATTGATAGGAGGATTTATTTTAAATAAGTGCTGAATGTCCAGGTTCACAGTCCCTAGATCCCAGGTGTGGATGGGCAGAGCATGGGGAACAGGAACACAGATGGCTAAGACCCTTGGTGCAGGGAAGAACCTTCCAGAACCAGCCAGAGTCCAGGAGAGGGCAGCCCAGGGCTTGCTCTTCTGCTGCGGAACCCCAGGCCCAGGCCACTCTAATGGATTCTGCAGATAAGTTTTTGCTCCCAAATCCTTGCTGCACCCCGTTCCTCCTCTGTGTACAGCTGGAAAAGACTTACTAATCACAGCCCACTCTGTCCCAGTCTTACTCAGCCAGTGCCCTAGGGCCATCTTTGGATGATGGTTTTGATGACTGCTAACAATACACTGTAGGCTTCCCAGGTGGTTCGTTGGTGAAGAATCCGCCTGCCAAGCAGGAGATGGGTTCAGTCCCTGAGTTGGGAAGATCCCCTGGAGTAGGAAATGGCAACCCACTCCAGTATCCTTGCCTGGAGAATCCCATGGACAGAGAAGCCTGGCAGGCTACAGTCCCTGGGGTCGCAAAGAGTCAGACATGATTTATCAACTAAATGGCAACAAGGATACCTTTTCTTAGAGAAGTCTTTGGTCTTTGTTTTCCATTGCTCATTGCTTGGAACACAGTCAACACTCAGTACATGCAGGTGCTATTATTTGATCAACCAGTGCTGAATGCACAAAGGAAACCGGCACCGTTGGCATGAAAAAAACACCCTCTCCTTGGGTGTCAGGACCTGCTGAGGACCAGGGAGCCTCTGGGTGGGTGTCGAGGACCAGGAAATGAGTGGAGCCTCCCTGCCTGTGATGTGGGTGGGAGTCGGGGGCTGCGAGAGAAGAGGAAGGGTTGGGGACGACCCCAGCAGCAGTGCCAGCATCAACTGGACTTAGGACTGGGGCCACATGGAAGGAGATAACTTATAATCATAATAACCACGTCTAGGAGTCTGAGATGCAAGCAGTCGTGAGCATCTGAAGACCATAATAGAGAGTTTAATGGAAGGTATGCAGTATGACAGCATCGATAGGGTGGAATCTGACATCTCATTACATCACCATCTATTCTGGTCTCCCCAGAAGTTGCATACAAGCAGTTAGGCTTACTTTTGTCCAGAGTTCATGGCATATTCGAAGTCTTTAAAGCTGACATGACCATCTGAGTCTTGATCTACTTCCCTGGAAAATGAAACAGAAAGTGATTTACAGTGAGTTTCGTTCTACTTCTGCACTTCATTTCTCTATGTGACAGGCACCTATCTTATCCGCTAGAAGGCTGAGATCAATGGCTATCCTTTTTTTTTTTTTTTTGCATTGATAATACCTAAGGAGAGAAGGAAAGGAAAAAGTATCTATTAAAACCTACAGAAATGATATATTCAGCACATTTAAAGGAATGTCACCAAATGCACAGGTTATATTTGTTTATATTAAAAAAGGCAGGATGGTTTTTCTAGCCATCCTGCAAATTCTTTCTGTGATATGTCAATAAACACACATGCATCTGTCAACCAAAAAAGCAAGGCAGGAGGCTGCACTTTGGATTCTAGAAGAATTGTAATTCAGGAAGTACAAACTTGGGTGGCCCTGAAAGTGCCCTGAAGAAGAGATGAAAGCCACAGGGCGGTTAAAAGTTGCCCGGTGGCAGCTGTGACTGAGTCTGACTCAGGTCGGAAAGTATCTGTGCTCGAGGGCTCCCAGGTTGTTTCAGGGTAAGAGCCCGGCAGGCATCTTGAGCTCCTGGAAGGTGCTCTGGATGACAAGGGACTTTAATGTCCATAAGTCACACTTCCTTACTGGCCTCCTGGCCCCGTGGCAGAGGGTTCTTGGCAGCACCGACACCATTTTTATTTTTCCCACCACACACTGCACAACAGAAGTGTGGCGTAAAGGATTAAGAGGTAAGGAAACCCTTCTAGGGGACTTATCTGGTGTTCCAGTGGCTGAGCCCCTGCTCCCAATGCAGAGAGCCCCAGTTAGAATCCTGGTCAGGGAACTAGATCCCAAATGCCACAACTAAAAGACCCTGCATGCTGCTGCTAAAAAAGATCATGCAGGCCACATTTAAAAAGGAGATCCCATGCTTGACAAAGAAGATTCCACAGACCGTAACTAAGACCTGAAGCAGCCAGATGAATAAATATTTTAAAAAAGGAAAAACATTTTGGGAGTAAATAACTATAGTGATTGACATCTTGCCTCACACTGCCTTTACACTGCCCATCTCACTGAATCTGTGCACAGACACCGGGACGGGCCCATTCTGCAGACATTGACCATTAAGGGGTTTAATGTGCTGGTAGGATCACATGAAACTCAGGATGGTTAAATTCACAAACATGGGCTTTACACACTATTCCACATGTCTCCCTATGTAAATAAGATGTTATTTACAGACAGAAGTGGTTGTGTTGCAATTACCACACAGCTAACTCAAGCTCCGGAAGTTTTCATTGACTTCATTCATGGCCTCGGAAGCTCAGTTAATTCCTCACAAACACCCGATAAGCTTTTCTGAATCCTAGGAAGAGAGGTGAAGGCGTGAGCCTCTGACTGGTCAGCTGAGGGTGTGAGTGGCCTCAGCCGGGTTGTGCCTAAGTGTCCCTAGGGCCACTGAGACAGGGGCATTGCTCCTTTGAACAGGGAGCAGAGAAATGGTGCTCAGTCCCCCTAGTTAACATAACACATGGCAAAGGGAGAAAATCGTGGCGTAAGCAATACATTCAGCTGCTACCAGTGACAGCAGTGATTACTTTAAGACTGTGTTTGAAAGATAACTATTGAGTTGTGGTCACAATTCCTCTTTGGGAGGTATTCTAAAACAATGCATTACATGCCTTATGTGGCGCTCCTGGGTGGGTGCAAATTATATTTTGTTGAAACAGCAAATGGTATCAACCAGGACAAAGGGCTTTTTAAAGCAAGGACTGGTCCAAATAACAGAGCCACTAATCACTGTAATAGTTTTAAAGCAGGCTTTTAAAATATTGAATTCTAAAATAAACTTTCTGAATATTTCATGCCAAAGTCTCTGAAGTCTATAACGGTATGGGATAGAGTGATAATAATTTTTCATTCTTTTGAAGTAAAGAAAAATCCCTACTTCTCTGCCCCAGGGCAAAACCATGTTGCAGTATGTTAGTTTAAGATGACTGCAGACTGTAGGGCCCATTATTCTTGCTACTTCTTTTTGTGAAATATACATGACAATTTCATGCTGTACAGGACCAAAGGCGGAATGGCAGATCTTTTCTAAGGGATTAGAAATAATCAGTATCACATGTTACTGACTACAGAGTATAAATCATCCCCTTTATTAAATAAGATAATTGAAGATTCTTAATATTGCCTAAGTATTTTTTCCCAAGGAATTGGATTAGATAAATGGCCTTTTTTTCTTTCCACTCTGAACTGGCATGATTGAACTATAAATCTCATAGGGTGAGTTAAGTAGATAACTTAGAGAAGTAATATTTAGGATAAACTGTTTCTATATATATATGTGTGTGTGTGTTTATTCACTTATTGAGATGCTGAATACTTATAGAAAAGGCAATCCCTTTGCCTGATTCTCTCAGTAAATAACCTTTTTGTAATTGCATTAACTTCTTATTTTTCTTGCTATCTTTGCCAAAACTTCCCATCATAAAATGGTTATGGTGTAACCAACAGGTATTAAAATGGGAAAGTTTATTCATAAAGCTTGGAGTGGCATTTTTATAATGAATGGAGGAGCATTGTGTTTATATTTAGAATGAGACATGGTAAAATACCGTCTTCCAACTTTCCTTCCTCATCACATATATATAATGGTCGTCTCAAGGAGAATGAAGAGGAAATTCACATTTCAGAGCTATAATTTTAAAAGCTAAAATACTGTTTTTCATTGCAGACGGCATTATTCCAAAGAAGGAAGCTTTCACAGCACCCACACTCAGATCGCTGTGTGATGGAAGAGCAGATGTGCTGGTGGGTAGAATCGGTGGTGCTGAGGAGATGAAGGCGACATCATTATGTAAAAAGTTTCATGGCTTCTGTTTACACTGTTCAACACTAAAAGGAGTACACTTTCCTTCTGAAACCACAGTGTGCTGTCTCGGTGTCACTGATACACATTCAGCACTGAAATATTCCACCACCATCACTCTAACTAGAAATAAGTGCTGGGAAGGCAAGAACCTTCTCTTGTTCGCTGCAACGTCCCCATCTCTTGGCCCACAGTCGGCAATGACTGTTTACAGAGTGAATGAATTTGTGGAATAAATGAATCTGGGGAAACAGTGGACAACACTGCAGAATATATACTGCCTCCCAGGAGGTTTGGGGGGACTAAAGAAAGTATGTCATCACTGTTTTTACAGAGTCGAAATCCTAGGCAGAGAAATAACAGACTGATGATGGCGCCTAGGAGCCATCGCTCGGGGACCCATCAGGAATGGTCAGCTGTGGTCTCCATGCCCAGCCGCATTTTGTAAACACAGACCAGATGCAAGAGTCCAAGTGAGAGATGGACTCCAGAAACTGAGGTTGCCTAGAAGAGCAACGGACGGAAGGCACCCGTTGCGTGACTGGGTGAACAGTCAAGAGACAAAGAACAGGAAGCTGGAAACTAAAGCAGAACACTGGACACTGCATCTAACCTGCCCTATAGCTGAAGCCCAAGCACTTAAAGCCACTTAAGTAACTGCTCTTTTACCGGACATAGGACTATATATATATACACACACACATATGAAATATAAGCCTGAATACACACACACACACTTCACTGGTAGCTCAGTTGATAAAGAATCCACCTGCAATGCAGGAGACCCCGATTTGATCCCTGATTCAGGAAGATCCCCTGGAGAAGGGATAGGCTACCCACTCCAGTATTCTTGGACTTCCCTTGTGGGTCAGCTGGTAAAGAACCTGCCTGTGATGCGGGAGACCTGGGTTCAATCCCTGGGTTGGGAAGATGCCCTGGAGAAGGGAAAGGCACTCTAGTATCCTGGTCTGGAGAATTCCATGGACTGTACAGTTCATGAGGTCGAAGAGAGTTGGACACGACTGAGCAGCTTTCACTTTGACACACACACACACACACACAGGCTTATATTTCACAGCTGACTTTTTAAAGGAATGAAGTTTATCAAGATAGATGAAAAGAAAATAAATTGCCATGAACAACAGTAACTGCTTTTAGACATATAAAGCCAGTTAAAGACTTTTTGATTTGCTTGTTTTTGAGATGCAAAGGGAGAGCTGGAATTGATCTGGGGAGTAGGAACTCCAGAGAGTTGAACTGCTCTGTGTGACTCAGTATGAACATTTTAGGACCATGTGGGTGGAGGAGATGACAAGAAAGATAACAGAGGGGATTCCCTGGTGGTCCATTGGTTAAGACAACCTTCCACTTCAGGGGGCACAGGTTTGATCCCTGGTCAGGGAACTAAGATCCCGAATGCCATGTGGTGATGAAAAAAAAAAACAGAGAAGATGCAAGAAGAAGGGGCTACTGACCGGTGGGGAGGAGGGTGGGATGCAACGAGAGGGTAACTGGCCCAAGAAAGTCCCCGTGCTCAAAAGTCCCTTAATTAACCACTACGTCTATGTGTACTCCGAGGCTGTCCGTGTTGCGTGTTGTAACTTCTCTTTCATCCTCACCAAGGACTGTGACGGCCACACAGTCTGAGGGGATGTGTGTTGGGGTGTGGGCACCGAATCTGGCACTGAGGATGAGTTCAGTCTGAGTGTGTGTAGTAGAGAGCAGGGAAAGTCAGTGGGGGGGGGGGGGGGCGGGAAGATGACCCATCAACTGAACGAGCTTAGAGAGAAATGAGAACTCAGAGCCACAGGTCTTCCAGAAATTTGCAAAACCTCATAAAGTGCTGTAAAATTCCACAGGAAATGGAATGGGAGTTCCAGGCAATCCTATCTGGACTTTGAAGGGCAGAGGACCCAGGGTGACAACGCGATACATTGAGAATTTCAGGCAGGTCTACACTCTATCCATTCAGCTGAATCCCAACAGTTTTCTTATCTTTTAAAATTCCGACATTTTTTGGACTTATCAGATAAGTGGCTATAATTACTTCTATTTCCATAAGCTTTAGCATTTGTCTTTGTACATTCTGATTTGTTACGCAAGATTTTCTCTCCTTTTGGGGATGTGGTGTGGACTTAGCAGAGACGAGATG